GGACAATTGTTCCATATTTTTTTGTAATACCAATGTAGAAACATTCTCTCGGGCCATTCTAAATTTTCATAGATATTCTTTGGTGTCATATACATATTCGTTTGGAGCATCAAAATTAGCATTGGATGCAAAGCATTCATGATTAATGATGCTATTTTTAATAAAATAACTATTTCATGGCCAAAAAACATATAATGATAAATAGACCAAAAAATTGCAAGGGTTGAGCAAGTATTTGTGATTTGATTTTTACAATGTAATAATGATATACACATGTTTATATGATTTGGATAAAATTCTGCATTTGACAATCTTCAAAAACACGTGACCATACAAATTTTATTGCATTTTTGATTGGAAATTTTTTTCTCAAAAAATGGCGGTGTAGCACAAAAAGTTCAGTGACTAAGTGACTTGCACTATAGTAATAGTAGTGCCCAAAAGTGCAAACACATAAAGGTAACACACAAAAGTGTGATCGATTTTTCAATAGTGATATGCAAGAGCGTCCTGACTTTATGACATGGAAAAATGATACCTGAAGGCAAATAAGGTTTCTAGAGTGCAAAAATATAACTTTTGTTAATATGCAAAGGTAGAATAATATAAGGCAGAGATAAAGAAAAGTTGTGCTTTTACGTATTACCAAATAGATGAGGTATCATTTTGGAATTACGTGCTTCATCCTCATATTCGGATGCAATGTACAAAGCCAAGGTACATATTGCCATTTCAGCATTATATACTTCATCTTTGTGATTGAAAAAAAATTGACTGATCGTCTAGGAGATGTGGTAATATTTATAGTGGATAACAAATTGGTAGATAATGATAAAAATCAAAAACCAAAGGAAAATAAAAATTGAAATTGTTTGAAATCAGTGTGATGGTATTAGAGATGTGTACTTTTTTTTTATGAATTGGTTTTCAATCAACACTGTGTGTTTGCCCTCAACATATGTTTAAGTGTCTCTTAAGTGATGATGAATTCACAAATCAATCATCACTTGAATTTACTTCTTAAGTGACAATGCAAATACAATAAATATATCAAAATATTGCATGTTGCATGTTGCATCTGATACAATAAAGTATATTCCGTAATATTTAATTAAAACCAAAATATCAGTGAAATTTTTGAGTTATATTCATATCAATACATCTTGATGGCTTCATAGGGGACACCTTTGTGAAGTTATCTCCATCATCAGATGATTCTAGCGTAGTGATGGTTTCATATTGGCTTTCTAAACAGTTCCATACCTCATTTGCAGAAGCGACCCTTTTTTTAAATGCCCACATCATCCACAGAAAAAGGGAAAGTTTTGTGATATCACTGAGGAATTTTCATAGACCCAATTTTTCGAACTACATAAAAGGGCTTAATGTGCTCCATCTCAAACAAATTTTTGTGTATATCCATAACATTGTGAACCATATACACACAAACCCTCTTTTGGTATCTTATAGCCTAATTCATGCTTTTCTTTCTTAGAAGCATAAACATGTCTCTCATTTCTTGAAGCAACTTATAAAAATCTTCATAAGATATTTCCAAAACAAAGCATTCATGTCCATCATTTGACAGTCCTGCTCCATCCCCTTTATGTCCCATTGTAACTTTTGGAAGTTAAAGAATATCATGCCTGCCATTTTTTCTTGATGCTGTTGAATTTAACTCAACCTCTCCCCATGTATATTCAATATCTTCATCACACACAGCTTTCTCCGTTACAAAACTCATTATTGTGCTCCACATGGCTTCTGTGGTCAAAGAATGTGAGATGACATTTCTTTTACTTGTAAGTTCACTAACAAAAATATGGATAACCAGTAATGCATATTGCTCAAATAAGGTGATGCCTCCTTTACCTATATCTATCCATACCTGTGCAAACTTCTGCAACAAAGATTCTTTATCATTTTTAGCCATTTGTAAAATGGGTTTAAGTCTTCTCAATAAACTTTCTTCTGCAGGACATAGTTGTTGGCCTCAAATTTGCTTCCAGGTTGATTTTGAACACAGAGATTTGAGTATTTTGAAAGGTTATCACTAAGGTTTCTGGTCCAAACTGTTTTCTCAAAGCCCAAACTAGTTTGGGCAATTTGGGCTTCTCAACATTTTCTATAAGCATGAACATTAAAAAACTATATAAATCACTTGTTTTAACTTAAACAACTTTAAAATAATTTCGCCCAATTTCGGCTAGTAACAAAAAGTAGTTTGGGCTTATAAAAAAATAATTTTTGCCCAAAGTATTTGGGCAATTTCGGCCAGAAACCTTAGTTATCACAATACAATCATGCTCCACCCTCCATGGATGCAAATCAATCTTGAGCAAATATTTATTCCATATATTGGTGAAATTCTCTTCAGATTTAAGAATACACTGCAATGCTTGTAATGGGTGCTCTGTTATTACTGGATCATGTGAAACTTGCATAGATGGCAAAGATGTTTGGTCGTTTTTATCACTTGAGATGCCATTTTGCACATCAGAAATAATTTCAGAACTAAAAAGATCTGGAGCATCAGAAATACCGCCCAATGGAGTTGAATGAAAAAAAAGAACTATTTCACTATCATTTTCATCATTGGATGATTCCTCATTTGGTACAAAAAAAAGATTATCTTTGGTACTGTCACCATCATTACTATCCTGTTCACATTGCAAAGGACAATCAATTAGAATTTTGTTAGTGTCCAAGCCTAAAATGTAGTCCAGTAACAATAAAACTAAATGGCAGTTATCACCTTACAAAATCTGGTTATATATTTTTACTTTTTTTGATTTTATAAATATTATAATTGAAATCAAAACGCAGAGCAGAACTTGCTGGGTAATAAGATTCTCATCAAGATTGTGTATTTTGCTTTTCGTAATCAATATTAATAATAACAATAGTATTAATAATAATAAATAGTTACAAGAATGTCAAGGCAGCAACTGTTGAAAAAGAGACCTTTCAATATACGATGTTTGATTATCAGAAATTTGCAGACGTTGAAGCACGCACACTACCTTGGACACTTTACAGTCATTCTCACATCTTCCTCATATACACAAGGTTAATCTGACTTGCATCCCCCGATGATATGATGATGCAACCGAATACCAAGGGGATCGCTTTGCCCTGGAGTTTACCGAGACTGTATAAATCGTCAAGAATAGAGTTTGGATCCGGAATTAAGAGGTTCGGCAAAAATATCTGCATTAAAGTCTAATCCGGTAACATATTATGGAATCTGAATAGACTATGTAAATTTTTTGTGTAAATTTTTTTCCCTTAGTTTTAATCAATTATTATATACAACCAATAGATTTGCTTATAAGACATTAGAAGAATACATAAATAAATGTATTTGTAAAAAGAATTATATACAAAGAGGTATAAAGAATTTTTTTCCTGTGGTGCTTGGAAGAATTGCTGTGCCACTATGCCATTCAGCAAAGTTTGGTCATATTGTGGATTAGGCTATTTTGGTCTTTACCTTTAGGTATAAGTCCAAAGTATTGAATTTTGCAGGTAATTGACCCAAGAGGGTGTGGTTATCTCGCAATATATTCAAAGTTTTTTTGTTTGCCCTTTTTAAAACATTCTTTATACTTGCAATACAACAAGAATTATATTGATAAAAGTGTTGGTTAGTATATGTTTTGGTTTTTTTTTGGCAAATTTTCTTAATAATAAATAATTTATTTTTTTGTATTATTATATTAGAAGATATGGATAAATGGTTTGCACAAACAACTAAACATCAATATTATTAATATATGTTATATATGTTAGGAGGTAAAAATGGGTTGACTTTATTTTTAATGTTTGTTTATTCCTTAATTCAATTTTTCTTGTAAAATCCACTAATCATTATTTAATCATATTATTTTCATATTATATTCAGTTATCATACTTACATGGTCATCTAAATTTAATCCATCATTCAAACTCATTATATTATCAATATCTGTTCCACAATACATTTATTTTTATCATCTCCAATTTTCTTAACATTCATGTTTTTTGTTCCTTTGTTATTTTTAAAAATCATGATTTTGATGATTTTTTCCATGATTTTAGAATGATAGATATTGGTTTCTACATTTCAAGCTTAAATTTTTCAAAGGATTTGTTTATTACCTATTTAATTAAATGGTAAATCTTTTCATTAATTAATTAATTTTATTAATACATTAATGATTTTCTTTAAAATATCATATTATTTTTTTTTCTTTGAATAAAATCTAATTATTTCATACCTTTTCATTAATTGTTTTGACATTTTTGATATTATCTCCATTAAATATTTCATTGCCTTTTAAATTCATATATTCATATTCATAAATTATTTTGTTATCTTCAAATATGTCTTTTAATATCATCCATTACCCCTTTTTTCATTTTTTTCATTTGGGACAAAGTGAACATTGGTATTACCAAGAATTACAGGGATCAATTTAGTCGTTATTATCACAATCACATTGCAATTATAATTTAACAGTCCAATTTGTTACCTCGAGTGATATATAGAATTATCTCTATATAAAAATAGTTAATATGAAACTCATTTATATCAGATCTACCATGGAACCTAAGAATTATAGCACCATCAGAAGTATTTTGAAGAAGGAACAAGGTGAAAAAATTGCTCCTTACATTTTTAAATTAGCAGATACCAAATATTTGCAAACATATTTAGACAAAGAAAGGATTACCTATGAAATTTATTAAGAGGAAAGAGTTTTCAAAAGAGTATTAGAGAATTCTAGTAAAGAATCAAGAAAAAAAAGAAAACTGGCAGAATACTTTTTTCAACTTTGTTAATTTTTAATTACCTTTTATTTTCAATCAAGGTCATTTTTTAATTTCTTTAACTTCAATTTGAGCAGTTAGTTGACCATTCTGTTGTTGTAATTGGGTTAATTGAGCTTTTAAATCATTGATTTCTTTTAATAATTCTTGTGGAGTTAATTCTTTTAGTTGTTTGTTTTCTTCTTCTAGTTGCTTAATTCGATCTAATAGTTCCTGTTTCTGTCTTTTATGCCAATCTTCAGCCACTTCTAAGGCTTCCAAGTGTGTATCTACTTCCTCTTCTAACTGTCTTTCCTTTTCTTGCAAGTCATTTATTTGCTGTTCATAAAAAAGTGCCATTCCTCCATTTTGATGAGGTAAAAGAGGAAGTTCTTTTTCATTTTCCTCTTCTTTGCAATCACAAGTATATCTAGTCTTTAACCTTCCACAATCACACTTAGGCAATTTATCATTTTCAAACTTCTCTTTACAGTTTTCACAAGCCTTATCACTTTCAACCATTTCACCAGTCACTTTGCTTCGCGTTCTGATTTGACAAACTGCTTTTTTCAAACATCCGGAAAATATAAAAAAATTTTACACATGTCAATTGTAAGTTTAATAATAAAAAAGTGTAAAACTTACATCGGCACTGTAAGATTTACACAATATTACGTTGGCATCATAAGATTTATGCAAGTTTACGCTAAATTAATTTCCTGATGTGTATATTCAATATCTTCATCACGTATGGCTTTCCCTGTTACAAAACTCATTATTGTGCTCCACATGGCTTCAGTGGTTGAAGGATGTGAGATGACGCTTCTTTTACTTGCAAGTTCACTAATAAAAATATGGATAACCAGTAATGCATATTGCTCAAATAAGGTGATGCCTCCTTTACCTATATCTATCCACATCTGGTAAGTTTAATAATAAAAAAGTGTAAAACTTACGTCGGCACTGTAAGATTTACACAATATTATGTTGGCATCGTAAGATTTATGCAAGTTTACACTAAATTAATTTCCTGATGCATACTTGTGCAAACTTCTGCAACAAAGATTCTTCATCATTTTCAACCTTTTATAAAATAGGTTTAAGTCTTTCGAATAAGCTTTCTTCTGCAAGACATAGTCATTGACCTCAGATTTGGTTCCAGCTTGATTTTGAACACAGAGATTTGAGTATATCATTTTGAAAGGTTATCACAATACAATCATATTCCACCCTCCATGGATGCAAATCAATCTTGAGCAAATATTTATTCCATATATTGGTGAAATTCTCTTCAGATTTAAGAATACACTGTAATGTTTGTAATGGGTGCTCTGTTCTTACTAGATCATGTGAAACTTGCGTAGATGGCAAAGATGCTTGGTTGTTTTTATCACTTGAGATGCCATTATGCACATCTGAAATAATTTCAGAACTAAAAAGATCTGGAGCATCAGAAAGACTACTTGATGAAGATGGATGAAAAAAAAGATCACCATCATTTTCATCATTGGATGATTCCTCATTTGATACAAAAAAAGGATTATCTTTGGTACCGTCACCATCATTACTATCCTGTTCACATTGCAAAGGACAATCAATTAGAATTTTGGTAGTGTCCAAGCTTAAAATGTAGTCCAGTAACAATAAAACTAAATGGCAGTTATCACCTTACAAAATCTGGTACGTTTTGCTCTTCTTTCACTGTCATCAAGGAAATTCTTCCTAATACTGGTCATGGTTGATCTAGCATATTGTTGAACTTGTTCTGTCATCACTGTAGCAATGGTTGCATGTTGGACTGCCTGTTATACAGGAAGTGGGATCAAGAGTGAATGTTTTGGCCTAGTGTGTTAGATTGTGAAGATAATGAGAGAATGAAGTACCTGCAACATTTGAACCTCAGCCTTTGATTTCTCCTCTGTCATATTCGCTTGTATAATATTGATGTTTTGAAGCTCCCAGACATTATTTATCAACTTGGTCTTTTTATCTTTCTAATTTTTTAAAAAAAAAAATTAGTAAGTACTTGTATCTAACTGATAACTAGTTCCATCACACATATAAAGGAGAATTAGGGAACCCAAGGTAATCTGCTTAAGTCATAGGACAATCATGGACACATTGTGAGCACGAAGGGTCCCAAGGTAGTCCGCTGAGTATATAATCACCGACAGGCGTGAAGGACATTCCCACTGCCGGCATGAAGGGTTGCAGGGTAGTCAATGTACTCAGATTATCGAGTATTCTTGCTGACAGGCACGAAGGACTTTCCCACTGCAAGCACAAGGGGTTACAGGGTAGTCAGTGTACTCAGACTATCACAATTACCCTAAGGTGTTAACAAAAAAATATACTTTCCTTAAAAGTGGTCTTCCATTTGATTATCATTTGCCCAAATTCAGATTTTTCTGCGTAGAATTTGCTTATTGTATTGAGCTCACTCTGGTAATCATTATATTCCATTCTTTTATCCCCAAAATCACTGGAGGAGAGTCGAAAGTTCAGAAAATTGAAGAGTGTGGGATCTTCTGTAGCCTTCCAAAAGGCTACATATTTAAACAGCAGGTCAATAGATTAATGTAATATGCCAGCCATTGAGTATTACCAAAAGCATAATTTGCCTTACCTTGATACTGCAAAGTGTTAAGACACTCAGTGAGAAGTAGTTGCATCTGTGTTTAGAGGAACTACCAAACAGATCTATACAACTCTTGTAATAGAACAGTATATTGACACCTTGAATCAAAGTGTTTGTTATTATTTATAATAATTTGAAAATTGTTTTAAGCAAAAAAAACGCCTTCCTAAAGCCAATAATATTGTTAATAAATTTTATTAGTGTTATTACGCGAAGAAAATCAAAGCTAATTAATGTCGTACGTATATTGATTGGTTATATCAGTCTTGTGACATGTCCATGTCACATCAATCTATTATTTTCTATTACTATTACTATAAAACACTATTTTTTTTAGTTAAAAATTTAGCATATACAAATAAATTCAATAATTATTATTTGTCAATCATATCCAAATCATATTAATATATACTACAATACAATTTCTTAATAGGAATTGATGCACTGGTCTTGTAAAAAAATGAATGAACGTATTTAAAAATATGTAGTATTTTTACATCATAATTTAATATTTTGCTCTATAATAAAATAATGCTTAGCTAAATACTATAAAGGTAAATAAATGTTTTACAAAATAAAACTTTATTAAGACATCATCTAATTAAGTGAATTTTAATGAAGAAAATCAGGATGAAGAAGACATTGAAGAGACATTTCCTATTTCAAGTCAAGATGCTTTATTGGCTATTGAAAAAAGTAAACTTGTTTGTTTGAACAACAGTTTAAGGAATTTACAAATGAGGAATTGAAACAGTTAAAAAACGTCAAAAAGAAAATTAAAAAATAGAATTTATTTTTTAAGGTGCAAGTATTATATTATAATTTAACTTTTTACAACACAAAATAAACATCATCATCTAATTAAATAATTTGATTTTTTATTTCTTTATAATAACCAGGGCATAAGTATTATATTATAATTTAACTTTTACAACACAAAATAAACATCATATAATTAAATAATTTGGTTTTTTATTTCTTTATAATAACCAGGGAGTAAGTATTATATTATAATTTAACTTTTACAACACAAAATAAACATCATCTAATTAAATAATTTGTTTTCTTATTTCTTTATAATAACCAGGGGGTAAGTATTATATTATAATTTAACTTTTACAACACAAATTAAACATCATAATCAAATAATTTGTTTTTTTATTTCATAGAGAGTAAGTATTATATTATAATTTAATTTTACAACACAAAGTAAACATCATCTAATTAAATAATTTGTTTTTTTGTTTCATAGATTGTAAGTATTATATTATAATTTAACTTTTACAACACAAAATAAACATCATCTAATAAGTAAATTTGTTTTTTATTTCTTTATAACCAGATTGTAAGTATTATATTATAAATTAACTTTTATAACAACTAACAACTAAATAAAATTAATTTTTATTTCCTTATAATAACCAGCTGGTAAGCATTATATTGTATTATAAATCAATTTTTATAATTTTTATATCTAATTAATAAGTTTATTTTTATTTATTTATAATAACCAGCTGGTAAGTAGTATATTATAAATTAACATAAAAATAAATTTTATTAAAACATCATCTAATAAATTTTTTTTATAATAACCAGGGAGTAAGTATCATATTATAAAATTAACATTTACAACACAAAATAATTTTTATTAAAACATCAATTAATAAATTTTATTTTTCTTTATAATAACATAATATCCAGCATGTAAGTAATTTTTACAACACAAAATAAATTTTTATAACATCATCTAATTAAATTATTCTTTATTTCTTCATAATAACCAGCTGGTAAATATTATATTATATTATAAATAATTTTTACAACACATTGTCTAATTAAATAAATTTATTTTTTGCATTTATAATAACAATTAAAGGTAAAATAATTTATAAATTTATCTTTTAAATAAATGTCTATTTTTATTATGTTGAAAAATAATTCTATTCTATTTTTAATTTTTATTATGAATAATAAGATAACACTAAGGGGTTTAAAGAAAGAAAAGAAGAATATGGAACCTGTTCTGTTTGTGCAAGATATAATACTAATTACCAGTGGTGTCAATCATGTGA